ACTTAACTCCCCAGGTTAGTTTGGTTTGTGAAACTTTGTAATACTCCAAGGCCAGACTAGGGCCTTCTTCTGATGTCCCATCACCCTGCCCTCTGCTCATCACGGTCTCTCCGTCACAAAATGATATACTTGTTTTAAAAAAGTATCCTCCTAAACCACATTTATAAAATGTGAAACAAGGAAATGGAAAGCTCGTGTTTTTTTGGGTTTTTTTTTTGCGGTATGCGGGCCTCTCACTGTTGTGGCCCCTCCCGTCGCGGAGCACAGGCTCCGGACGCGCAGGCCCAGCGGCCATGGCTCATGGACCCAGACCGCTCCGCGGCATGCGGGATCCTCCCAGACCGGGGCACGAACCCGCATCCCCTGCATCGGCAGGCGGACTCTCAACCACTGCGCCACCAGGGAAGCCCAAGCTTGTGGTTTGTAATGAGCTTCACCTAAGGTCTCTCAAACTTAAGACATCAATCACATTCACTGTTCACATACAGTAAAAAGTACATTTCTTTTCAAATGTCATAGAAACCTAATAGTTATTTATGACAACTCCTCCTCTGGTCTGTACATTGGTGGTTTACTGGTATCTTTCTTTCCTTCTTTCTCTTCCTTCATCTTGATTCCCATTCATTCACCCTTTCCACAAACATCCCCTGGGTTATCTTGCTGTCTTCTGCAGAGAATCCAGATAGAAAGTGGGAACATTCCCATCTCATGGGGACCCAGAGAGCCATCCTCTTTCTCTTCCTTTCTGGGGCTGGGGAGGCTCATCTCTTCCTAGGGTGAGGACCAACCTGGAGAAACAGGGGAATAGATCTTTCTTACTAGGAATATCTAAACATCACCTCTCAGATAGTCCCCAAACACACCACTCCTGTACCCTACTGAGTGTTCCTTCAAGAAGTGCCTACTTCTTGCTAAGCTGCTCACATGGCTTCTCTTGGTTTTAATAAAATCAAGAAGATCTGTCTCATGTTACTCATGGGGCTTCCAGCTCTCTACATTTGTGTATTAAAAGTTTAAGTGGACCAAGGGGGTGAGCGATGCCAGGGACTAGATGTAAGCTGGACTGAAATTCTGTGAACCGCTTTGACAATAACATTTCCCCTCTCTGGCTCTGGAACTGCATGCGCACCCACGAAGTACTGATAGCTACCACCATCCCGTACAGTCAGCGTCAGGAAATCAGCAAGAGCTGGCTACGAGTTTGCGTTTTCATGCCTCCTTAAGGCTCAGGAAGCAATATTTCGGGGGGTGGGGGCAAACACACTGTTCAGCTCGAAAATTTCCTCTAGATGGTGAAAGGAAAATGCCATCCCTCGGCTACCCCACCCCGAGAAGAACGAGCCAGGGCTGCCTGGGCTTTGCTAATAAAAGCGGAAAGTGTAAATGGCTTGGTGGTGACTGGCTTTCGCCCTTGGCCGGAGATATGAGATCACGATTTTCACAAAGGACAAGAACCTCCGCTGCCGCCACTGCTGAGGCTGCTGCTTTCCCTCCCTGCGCGGGTCCCGCATTACATCACCGGTGAGCTCCTGCGGGTGGTGGGAGAGAAGGTTTTGCCAGGGACTCAGCCCCAGACCAAGGAGGATAAACACGGAATAACAAGGACACGGGGCGGGAGGGGGGGGAGGGAAAAGGAGAAGGAAAAAGCAGGACCAGGTTTCCTACCACGACCCTGAACGTGTGTATGGGGTGGGGTGTTGCACGGGCACCGACTCCTTAAAGCAGCCGCACCCCAAATTCCGTTCCCGCATCGCACACCCCACCCTCCTTCAACTCCCAATTCCAAGTCCTCCCCGGCCTCCCTCCGCTTGAGGACTACGAGTGCAAAATCTGCTACAACTACTTCGACGCAGACCGGCGCGCGCCCAAGCTGCTGGCGTGCCTGCACACCTTCTGCCAGGAGTGCCTGAGCCGGCTGCAGCTCCGCGCCGCCGCCGCCGCCGCGCCCGAGCGCCCGCTGCGCCCGCCGCCCTGGCACGGGCCGCCCAGCGCCATCGCTTGCCCCGT